CTGTTTAGGAAATTCTCTTAAAATTTTTTTCTTAACTTTCCTGTGAATCTTTCATCTTTGCTCCTGTAGTTTTAAAGTCTAAGGTTCTTTTCATTCCTTGAGTGTTTCTTTTTATAGGGTAACTTTTTTTATGGATACAGTATTGTCTCATTTCTCTGAGGATAGTTGTTTTAGTTTAGTTGTTTGGGGTTTCATTTTGTTTGCTGTTTTCTTGCCTACACTCTGTTTACTCTGTTACTCTTTTCCTTTGGTTTACTTTTAGTTCTCTTGTTAGAAGTTTTCTTCACATGTTCACTAGTTGTCTGCTCATATTTAAGTGGGAAACTAAAAAACGTATTGAAGTCCTAAGTCTGTGGACTGGGCTTGACTTTATCTTAGAGAAATCTAGCTGAGTCATTTCCTTAGGAAAACCCAAATAGTACTTTTCAGTCAGTCCTCTTGGGCTGGCCAGAAGGGTCTCCTGCTTTCCCCAGGCTGCATGACCATCAGAGGTAGGGAAGCGGGCAGGGGATTAGGGCTGTTCTGAACTCTCATTTCTGTTTTCAGCTCTACCTGCTACCCCCTAGTCCATGGATTTTCTCTCCTACTGTCTTATGAGAATAAATCTGTCTTCTGTTGGGGAGGGTGGTGGGTAGGTTGGGCAGCTGCTCAGCTGTGTGTATATGCAGGGTGTGGAGGAACTTGGGATTCTAACAGTTTCTTACACAGTATATAAATCTATCTTTGGGGCTTTTTTGGGGGTGCAGGGAGTTGGTGCTTCTTCTGTCCCTACTTCTAGAGGTGTCTGGTACCACCAGTTTCCAGGCCTTTGGGGAATTCTGAGGTATCAATCAGGTCGAATCTTGGATTTTTCTACTTGCTAGCTTCAGATGCAGTTCTCTTGGGTCTGCTGAGCCAGTTATTGCTACAAGTTTGATACTCTTTTCTCCTCTCCTGATCTCTTTGCTTTTACAGGTTTATATATCTTTTAGATATACCTTTAGTGTCACTCGAGTGGGATTTCAAGAAGTGAAGTACATGCATGTGTTTAATCTGTCATCTTTAACAGACTCTTTTTAAACATTAAAATAATAAAGAATCTATTTGTCATTATTCTGTTCAATGAAATTTTCCCTCTGTGAAAGAGAGAAAATAATGAGAACACAACCCTTGGTACTGCTGTTTGTTCTGGACGATGGGAGCCCATGGCACTGGCCCATCTGCCCCACAAGGCCACAGATCCTTAGCAGTCTGGCTTTCTCAGCTAGGGCCATACTTTATTGCACTTGTGGTGTGTTTTTGAGATCATCTGTGACCTTTTGAGTTTATTTATAATTCTGCATAGATTTGCCACTTCCCTTACTGTTGGATTTGAGGAATTCTTGAAGCAGGGTGACGTCCTGTCTCAGCATACTTAACCTCAAATTTTATGATTTGGGGTTTTATTCTCCTGTTTATGCATCTCCGTCTTCCAGCCATATTTTTCTGCCAGTCATACCAGATTTTGCCCTTTTAGCTTCTGCCTTTTGCCTGAAACAATTTGACTTTTTCTGAGTTATTATTTAGTATTATTCTCAGATTGTCTTGAGAGGGGGCATAAATGGATTCATTTTTGTCTTAGGAGTCTGATGGCTTAGTGTTAACAAATTTAAGAGTTAACTGCTATTCTAGACTGAATATTAATGTCCCTTCAGAATTCACATGTTGATGACCTAAGCCCCCCAGGGGGTATGTATTTAAGACAAGGCCTCTAAGGAGATAATTAAGGTTAAATGAAGGTCATAAAGGTGGGGCCCTGATCTGATGGGATTGGTGTCCTCATAAGAAGAGACTCCCCACTGCCCCCCCACTGTGAAGCCACAGTGAGAATGTGGCCATCTACCGGAAGCTTCATCTTAAACTTCTAGCCTCCAGAACTGTAGGAAAACTAATATCTGCTGTTTAAGCCACCCAGTCTGTGGTATTTTGTTATGGTAGATACCAAAAAGCTAATATACCTGCTCTTCTTAGACTTTAGCAATCAGAGTTGTCAGTTGTCAGATGTTAGCTTATAGTTGTCATATTTGTGCAACTGACTTCCTCCATTTTAAGCCACAGTTAGAATTCTGTAGTCAGAGGAAACCAGATCTTAATTGCATTAGGGGTTAGGGAACCTACCAGCCTATAGCAAGTGACTTTTTTTTTTTTTAATGAAATCATTGCCATAGTTTTGTGAAAGTTGTGTTTCCAGAGCCTCTGTGTGTATGTGTGTGTACACTAGATTGAGATACAAAATATACTTCTTATTGTAAGTTGTGGTGAAAAAGATTTTAAGTCTGTTGCTCTAGTTTAAGCTAATTTTTTAGTCCCTGTTAGAATACCCATGGCAAGTGATGATTGGTGGAGTTTGAGGGAAAAGGTAGACCAGGACTGTGGACCCTGTGGGGTCAGACTTTGGAATCCAAAAAGGGACCTAGAGATCTAAAGTCCAAAGGGAGAGGCATAGGGAAGAGGAGAATTCGGTTATCTGTTTCACCCAGCAAGCGAAGCAGAGAGCCCCTAGGAGGACTTTTCGCATAGCACCAAGCTCCGGGAGGGGCTGGGAGCGATTTATCACATCTTCCTCTGCACTCTGGGAGTGCCTTATGCATAACCTCACTCACTGCACACGCCACGTTATATTATAATTATTTTTAAAATATCTGTGACTGGGGGCACCTGGGTGGCTCAGTCATTAAGCGTCTGCCTTCGGCTTGGGTCATGATCCCAGGGTCCTGGGATCGAGCCCCACGTTGGGCTCCCTGCTCCGCGGGAAGCCTGCTTCTCCCTCTCCCACTCTCCCTGCCTGTGTTCCCTCTCCCGCTGTGTCTCTCTCTGTCAAATGAATAAATAAAATCTTTAAAAAAAAAAAATATCTGTGACTGGGCCAAGTCCATAGTTAGCACTCCATAACTGTTAGAAGAGGGAGGAATAAAAGGTAGCCATCGTTATTGGCCTCATGTTACTGTCATCCATGGTAACGACATGTTTACTCCTCCACCAGCTGGAGTGTTACCCGATTCCAGTAAGGGGTGAGTAGTGCGCCCCTCCGTGAGTCCGCTCTGAAAACAGCACAGTCTCGTTTATAGAGCCAGTAGCAGCGGAATCACATGCTCCCTCTCAAGATGTCAGTAGAACAGGTGGAAATTTCCTTCATTGTGTGGTCTTCTAGCTTTGTTAAGAGGTAAGGAGAAGGAGGCCAGGCCCCTGTATGTCCTAAGCGCCGGCATAAATGGTACGTCAGATATATTCACAAAGCCAGCAGTATTGATGCCGGGTAGACTGGGCTGGGGAGGTCACTCCAGAAGCAGTTCTCCTATGTCATGGGCCAGGTTCAGGGGAGTGAGGTCCTGTGGCAGGTGAACTCTCATCACCTCAAGGGATTCGGGAAGACTTCCCAGAGCGAAAGGCGTTTATGAGGGAACCTGAGGCATGAGTAGGTGTTGGTCAGACAGAGGGAGTAGGATAGGAATCACGTGAGAGGGCAGTTAGCTCATGAAGAGCCTCCAGATGGAGGTTTGATATTTGCACTGCAGATTCTCAGGAATGGGGCTCTACTGTGTTGGAGAGTAGATTCTGTAGCTCAGAATCTCAGTCTGCAGAAGGTGGAAGCAGCCAAACCTGGCATCAGAAGACCCATCAGCAGGATGATGGTCGCTGAGTACCAGAAATGAGGGCCTGTGTTAGGATCGTGTCGGGACGATAGAAATGCTGCTAACGAGGAATGCATGGGGCCTGACGTTTTTTGGATGTGAGGGGCCAGGGAGGGGTGGGGGCACCTTTGACTCTGGAGTTCTGAGGCTCAGTACCCAGGGATGACGGATTGTTTTCATGGTAGTAGAGAACATTTGAGAGCAGTCTGTCTTGGGAGGAAATGATGGGGAGATGTGGATTTTGTATCTTAGGTTAGAGTTTTCATAGAGGCCCTTGGGGCACCATTTCAAAGAATGGTCTTATTAGAAGATAATTTCTCATGATTCATAGATAGACTAAACTTTTCCATTTATTTGGTACTTTTTTCACACTAGAAACCTCTTAGCTGTTGGGTAAAAAATCAGATGTCATTGAAATTCAGCATATTTTAATATTCTGAATCCAAGAAGCTATACATTTTCAATATTTTTCTCAGCTAGAACATGAAATTGTTATTTCACTTGGTTCATAATCAGCGTTTTTTAGAAGACAGCAGCTTAATGGAATGATTTTTCTGTTAATAAATCAGGTATCTACGTATTATATATTTACACAAATGAGTTCCAAATAGATGCTTTGAGTCAAAAGCCTTCACAGTTCAATTAGTAATTCCTTGAGAGCTTCATCAACTTATTTTCTGGTTTCTTCGTTCCTGGTCATTATTCTACAATGACTTTTGAGAAGCAGTTTTCTTAAAAGAGTACAAATTGAATTATTCCCCTTTAGTGAATTGAAATTCTTAACAAGGCTTTCCACTAATGAGGTGTTGTATCCATGTTAGGTTAAACAGGCTAGTTTGAGCCATTTAGTTAGCATTTCAGAATTAGAAGTCATTGATTAAAGCTTCACTAATAACTCAAGCACAGTTTAATAATAAAACGGATCCCACTCGGTGCTGCTAACACAACCAGGAAAACTCATACCAAATAGAAAGTGGCAACAACAGGAATTAGAATTAACTCGTCCATTAACACATGATAATGCCAAAAAAATTTAATTAACCTTCTTTCAGTGATACTGCTAAAGATAAACTTGACTTGCAATTCCAGGATGAGTTCTTTATTCAGCACTTGGCTCTTCCTCATCCAGCGTAGCAGCAATCCTAGCAGTCCTGGGGGAAAAGAAACCTCCCCTCTGACTGTCGTTCATTCAGCTTTGATATGGAACCATATCTGGAGCATGCAGGAATTTTCTTTAACTTGATAGGGAGAAAAGAAATCAGGCTTATCTTTGAATTTTTAAAATATTTGTTTTCCTTTTTTTTAAATGGATGTTTTTACTTCTGACCTGACTACACTTTTTCTTTCCAGTTTAAGATTGATAGCGAGTGGTGGACATGGATCGATTATAACCGCTTCCAGGAGCTCATGCAGGAATATGAAGACAGTGGCGGATCAGCAACTTTCAGCTCAAAGGATTATGTGGCGAAAACTCCTCACTGGGCATTATTTGGTGCCTGTGAAAGAGGCTTTGATCCCAAGGACACAAGATATCAGAGAAAGAACAAATCAAAGGATATTTCTGGATGTTGAGATTCATCTGACCATAGGGTACTGAAGGACAAGAACTGATGGCCCTGAAGGTTCTCACCCCCTGCTGTGATTTTTCCAAGGACACATTACACGAGTTCTATTTCATGTAGAGGGGACGCAAGTCACGTCCCGGGGTTGCTTTCCAGAGCTTAGGCCCTCTCCTGATTTGACTTCTTAGAGGACCACCGTTCCAGGGGAAGGACATGGTCCTTAGAATGGAACCGAGGGCTTTGAATTATAACTTGTGAAACTCACTAGAATGTTGTTCCTGGGGTGTTGTGAGGAATGAACTGGGTTCTTGGCCTTTGTGGATTGTTCCTCCCCAAGATAAGTGTATCTACTCCCTCCAGGACCTCCATCCCTTCTTTATATCTTAAGATAACACCTCCCGGGACTCATTCAAGTTGTCGTAATTCTTGATTATTTTTAAATACTGCATAGATTACATTAAATTTTTGCTTCGTACCAGCCCTTTATGAAATTGAATTGGATCTACATGTACTAGATCTCATTCCATTCTCCTACAAATTGCCATGGAAGGCCTGGGGGGCGGTGTTCGCGTCGGAGCCCTCTTCCGTAGGAGGAATGCCCTGGGATGCCAAGGAGTAATTAGTCTTGCAGACAGACTTCGAACCCCTGTACACCTTCCTCACAGAGCAGGTCCCCATCTTCTTTTCCCTCTTGTAGCCTGAGCTACTTTACACAATCTGTTTTTAGGGCTCAAGTTTTTTCTCATTGAAAACATCATTAAATACTTAATAGTTTTTAAAAATATCATAGTTATTTTTTAAAAAATTCCTTTATCCTAAAAATTTAATTAATAAAATCTCTTGTATAGGCTAGAATTTTCTTTTGAGTGTTTATTTTATTTTATTTTTATTTTTTTAATTTTTTTTTTAAATCTTTTTTTTTTTTTTTAAAGATTTTATTTATTTATTTGACAGAGAGAGACACATTGAGAGAGGAGCACAGGCAGGGGGAGTGGAGGGGGGAGAGACAGGCTTCCCGTTGTGTGGGGAGCCCGATGCAGGGCTCGATCCCAGGACCCTGGGACCATGACCTGAGCCGAAGGCAGACGCTTAACGACTGAGCCACCCAGGCGCCCCTGAGTGTTTATTTTAAAGATGCTTCTAGTCCCGTGGTTCGAAGCCCTATCAGAATCGACCTCTTCTTTATATATCAGCTATTTTGTAAACCTCTCTTTTCTGCTGAAGTGAAATTCCTAGATAATATAGCCTGCCTACTCACTCAGTTGAAAACTAGGCTCTGTAGTTATATCTAAGTGACATGGGATGGGATGGCAAAGCATCATTGAAATCCTTTGTTCTTGAACCCACCTCATCTTCAGGCTTATGTTTGGTCTCCTCCTGTTCTGGTGACTGAGACAGACAAGAGACAGGAGTGGTGCAGGCCAGTGAGGCATGATCTCATTGAAACCCAGATGGGTTAGTGTTCATTGAACAGAAATGCAAAAACACCCTAAAGTGGGATGAAGTGTTAAAAAGCAAGTGCTCGTGCTGAGGGGGCGCCGGAGACAGAACATGCAGGGCTTTGGACCATCCTCAACCTCTTTTTCAACCACAGTAAGGACTTCTGTGAACCCACTTGCCCTCTAAAACAAAGGAAATATGGGCAAAGTGACTAAAATCAATGAATTCTAGAGTTTTGACATTTAACCAAATCTTCACAATGAATTGAAAATCATCTGTTAAGAGACAAATCAGTAAAATTAACTGTTGACTTCTCATCAGAAACCATGGAGGCCAGGAGACAGTGGGGTGGCGTCTTCGGAGGGCGGAAAGAAAAGGCTTTCAACCAACAATCCTTTGTCTCAATCCTCCTTCAAAAATAAAGGAGAAATGAAGACATCTCCAGGTAAAAAAAAAGTGAGAGCATTCACCTGCAAACCTGCCCCACAAGGAATACTGAAGGGAGTCCTTCGGGCTCTGATGAAAAGTACCCTAAGCACTAACTCAGAGCCACATGAAGAAGTAAAGAGCACTGGTAAAAGTAACGACATAGGTTTTATGAAAGACCGTATAATGGTAACTCCTATTGTAAAGCAGTAATTATGGCACTTTGTTGATGGACTTACAATGTGTAAAGATGTAATTTGTAGGACAGTAATAGCACAAAGGGGTATGGAGGGAAATATACATTTTACATGGGTGAATTTTTTGATATATGAAATATATCTCGATAAAGCTGTAAAAAAAGCAAAGCGCAAATGCTGAATGTTTATTAAAACCAATATAGCATAAGAGAAGCATCATAAATCAATGGGAATTTGGAAGAAAAAATAATTTAGTTCTGTTCTTTCCACTAAATACTAGGAAGAGTCAAATGAAAAAAAAAGCTCCAAAGAAACCTTAGGTGAAAAAGGCCTTTCTTGATCAGGGTTCCCAAACTTTCTCATGCAGGAGAGTCACCTGGAGGACTTGTTAAAACACAGATTCTGGGTCCCACCCCACAGTTTCTGGTACTGTAGGTGTGCAGTGGAGAGCAGTATGTTTTCTGACACATTCGTGGTTATACAAACGCTAAGAGAGAGCACACACTTTGAGAACAACTTGTAGATATAAAACAATGTGAGAACTCATACAGTTTCGAAAGGTCAAAAACTTTACAGAATATGTTCAAGTATCTAATAATATCAAACATCACATAAACTAAAAAGACAAAATGGGAAAAATAGTTTGCATGAAATAGGATTGACTCTAAAATCTCATCGTTTCATTTTAAAAATGTTAGTAAGACTTGCCTGGTTAAATAAGCAAGGGCTAGAGAACGTAAAGTTTCATTGATGAGGAAATAGAGCTAGCTGCAAAATATGAACAGCTGTTCACTTTCAGCAAAGAAATGCTAATTTTTTTTATCAAATTAGCGAAATGTCTATATCATATTAAGGTAGAATACAGTTATTGCAAAGGAGTTTGGCAGTATATCCCAAGAGCCTTTATTTTTGAAAAACTAATTTAATGAGAAAAAGAGTTTTATGCTTAAAAGTATTTATTATAGCATTTTATAATAGCAAAACTCAGGAAACCTAAATGTAAAATATCCTAGGCATTTAATATTTCTTGAAAGAATGGCGAAGTTGTATTACACCACATTGTGTAGGTAATTCATCCTTTCAACAAATGTTTATTAAACACTGATTGTGTTCTAATGGCCGAGGATTCGTTGGTAAGTTAAGGAAAAAGAGGGGAACATAATTCTTGCCATTATGATGCTGACATTCACCAAAGACAAAGATTCACACAATAAATGTTAGTCATCAAACACACTGTGGTAAGTGCTACGGAGAGGGACGGTCTCGATGTGAGTGTGTCAGTGGAGAGATTTCCTAGTCAGGGGAGATGTGCCCTGAGTGTGCTGGAACCTACAGGAGTCTGGACTCCAGAGGTGGGCTCAGGGAAGAGCACTGCAGGTAGAGGACTGAACACGATCAAAGGCTTTGGGTCGCAGAGGGTCACGGCACATCTGAGTAGCTATAGGAAGGCCACAGTACCTGGAGGGTGCTGCAGAAGGGGTGGGAAAGGGCCAGGACACTCAGGGAAACATAATGGGTGATGACTCAGGGAGATGTAGGCCAGGCCAGGCCCTAAGAGCAATAATGCAAAGGAACACCATGATTAAATTTGCTTTTTAATAAGCACTCTAGCTGTGGGATTGCAAAATGGCTTGGAAAGACCTACAGGGAGATGAGTTGGTAGGTGATCCCTGGGTGGTGGCATTTGGGCAGTGCGCACCCCTCCATGCTGACCCTGGTGGTGGGGATGGAGAGCAGTGGATAGATTGGAAAAAGACCTTGGAGGGTAACAGATTTGGCCACAAATTGGTTAGTTTGGGGTGAGGGGGTAGGGAGGAGGGAAGAAATGTCCAGGATGACTCCTGATTTTCTGGTGTGCGGACAGGATGGACGATGGGGTCATTCTCCAGGCTGCTTAACCCTGGCAGAGGGCTGAGGGGACATCCTGGGTCATTTGTGGACACGTGGGCTTGACTAATGTTAAAAAGAAAATCACAGGCCCAAAATGGTGTTACTTGGACTAGGCCAAGTCACCAAACCAGGGCTTAATCCTCAACCTAATTGCAGTTTCAACCAACCCCAGAAATGTGAAGTGTTCTCCTCTCCACCTGGGAACTTTCTGGTCGGCACCAACGAGGCCCTCCCTCACAGGGCCTTCTCCATCCCCCAAAGGAAGATGAGGTAACCTGCATATAATAAGCTTCCCTGCACTTCCCCCTGAGGGAAGGTGATCTTGCCTGAAATAATCCTTTCTTTTCTTTTGCTTCTAACTTTCTTGCTCCACCCTCCTTCCTGTAAAAACCTTCCATTTTGTACAACTCCGAGGAGCTCCGTCTGTTTGCTAGATGGGATGCTGCCCAATTCATGGAGCTTCTAACAACGCCAATTAGATCTTCAAATTTACCCAGTTGAATTTTGTTTCTTAACACTTCCCAGGGGAAGGTGGAGGGAACGGTCAGGCATATGGGTCTTAGTGGGGGCGGGAGGGGGGAGGCGAAATGTGCAGATCGTTGTCTTAAGTTCTACTCAAAGCCTCAAGGGGACCTGAGGTCACCTGAGGAGACAACATAACGGGAAGAGGAGAAGGCCTGCTCGTGAAGGCCCAGCGGGGAGTGGCGGGGCGGAGAAGGAAGGATCAGTTGACTGGGGAGGGTCAGGGGACAAACCAGCCGGTGGAGGCACAGACACTCAGGGAGGAGGGCGAATCAAGACTAGACTGGTCAACCGTGACGAGGCCAGTGAGCCGTGACCAAGAGCATGACAAAAAACGCCCTTTGGACGGGGGTCATCCTCGTCCTGATCAACACTCTGAGTGGAGTGCTGGCCCCGAGTGGAAGGTTCCGAAGGACTTTTAACGACAAGAAGTTTATGATATAATGCTAAGTCTGAAACACAAAATACAAAATCCCGGTCATCTTAATTATGTAAAGATCATATGAAGCCACACACGACCGAATATGTATTATTTTAAGAGAATAACACAGAGGTATGAGAAAACAATGTTTTCTACTTCTTTTTGAAATAAATTGCTAAGTCTTTTCCTTAAATCTTGAAATCGAAACCCTCCTATAGTTGGAGTTAAATATATATTCAAAACAGTGTATTTTGTTAGCAGAAAGATTAATCTTTTTCTGTTGTTCTTTCAGTGTGCTGGGTTGTTTCTCTCACTTTTTATTGAAATACAAATTGATGAGCTCTTCCTGGGGTACGATTGATTTACTACATGGTGGCAGTGACTAATCTTGCTGGCTATTGTCCCGCTTAGTGCTTTTGTCTCTTACCATTTCTTTTTTTTTTCCCCCCTTTTTTTTATTTTTTAAATTTATTTATTTATTTATTCGACAGAGAGAGACAGCGAGAGAGGGAACACCAGCAGGGGGAGTGGGAGAGGGAGAAGCAGGCTTCCCGTGGAGCAGGGAGCCCGATGTAGGGCTCGATCCCAGAACCCTGGGATCATGACCTGAGCCGAAGGCAGACGCTCAACGACTGAGCCACCCAGGTGCCCCCATTTCTTTTCATTTAATGTAATGAAGCATGTTATCTTCATGCCTCAGTTTTGAAGATGTTTGGTACAATGCTGTAAATCTGTTGCATTTTCTGGATTAAGAAAATCCTCTCGTGTGGAAGGAACCCTGTGCATTAGGTTTCTTCTCATGGATTTCAGGAATCCTGGTCTTGATGTTAGAGAAGAAGAAAAACCCCTAGGGGCCTCAGACCTCAATAGAAGGCAAGATGTTTACAACTGGCTGTGAGCGAAAGGACTCACTTCTGGGTGAGAAAAGACAATCTGAACAAGCAGTCATTCTGCAAGCCCTTCTCTAGGTTTTGCAAATTCTTATCAGGATGCGGTGAAGCCCCAGATAATGCCTTCACCTTCCTCCTAATTGGGGAAGCTAGTTAAATTTATACTCTGATTATTGGCTCAGGAGAAGTGGGATAAAATAACCTGGTCTGTTGAAAAGTCGAAATGTTCTTTTCAACAACTGGGCCCCCACCTCCCCTCTACAAGGAAGAGCCTGTGTCCCCCGATCTGCCTGGGCTGGCCCTGGACAGGGGGACCCCTGCTCAGAAGGGGGTTAGGAAATGCCAGTCTCACCAGCAAAGGGGTAAGTGAGGGCCGGTGGCATCCCCCCCAGTCCGGTTCACTCTGAGCCGTGGGGTACACGTGACGGGAGGGGATACATCTGGGCTGCTAAAAGGTCACCTGAGGCCCATGTTGAGGGCGTTTGGGCACATCTGGACTTAGCGGGAGTCAGGTGGTGATGTCTGCAGCACCATGGGATGTGGCCTTGGAAGTCTTGCCACTTACTGAGTGCTCACAGAATAGGAGTTCTTGGGGAAAGGCCCCAAGGCCCCTGGGACATTGGGATTGGCTTGCTCTGACTTGTCTCTGACCCGGACCCTTCCCCGGTGACTAGAAATCAGCGCTCCTGCTGTAACACAATTCACTTCTGCTCCCTAGGGCCCGGCGGGGAGCTGCGGTTCAGTAAGAGAAGCAAGGCCCTCTGAGTCGGGTAGAACCTGGAGGTGAGAGCTGGGAAGATAAGCCCGGAGGGGAAGGCATGGCCACATCCGTGGATAGGCCACGGTAGCACGTTGTCATTCAGCGTGGCTGATGGAAGCCCAGCGATGGTCCTCTGGGTGATGCACTCTATTTAGCCATCAGTTTGCAGACGGTGCTGGTGGAACATAATCATAGAAATTATAACAGTGGTCACTAACTGAGCCCCGCCTGTATACCAGGCACTGTGCATGACCTACGCCCTCCAGGCTCGGGCTTTAAATGACGGGCACTGGTCAGAACCAGAACTCTGTGCCTCACCTCAAACTCCATCCCCCTCCTTCTATCCAGCCACCAGACAGGCTGCCAAAAAGTTCTCAGGTATCCCTTCTCCTATGTCCATCCAAGGAGGACACTAACTTAACAGCCTCACACCTTCCCCGTGCTTGGGGTGCACGGTACATGGGCTGGGGCACGGAGGTGCGGGCAAACTCAGCAATTGTACCACGTCTGGTGTCCAGAGCTCCCCTCCCCAGGCACCCCCCAGCCGCGGTTCCTCCAAGCCTTCATCAGCCAGAGTCTCCTATAACCAGGGAGCTCTCTGCTCTGCTCCACATTCTCTTCTCCTGAATGAAATGCCCTCCTGAGTTCTACCCCTGGGACCAGCCCATGAGCCCAATCTAGCCTGCCACCTATTTTTGTACAGCTGCAAGCTAAGAATGGTTTTTATGTTTTTAATGGTTGGAAAAAATAAAACCCAGAAGAATATTTCATGACATGTGAAAATTATATGAAATTCCAATTTCTGTGTCCGTAAATGAAGATGTATTGGACCTTGCGATGCCTGACCCCTTGCGCATTGTCGGTGGCTGCTTTTCACAGGATGAGCAGTTGTGACAGAGGCCATATGGCCCTAGATTATTTACCATTTCCAGAAAGAGTTGGCAGACCCTGCTCTGTCCTGTCCCTTTGGCTTTCTGGTGACTTCTGTTCCACTCGAATTCCCAGAGAAAGGAACAGTCGTGCTGCTGGTACGTGGGGACTTGGAGTTTACAAGGGACATAAGAGAGGCTTGCTTCCTCTCTGACGGCTCAATACCAAAGAAATCCCTCTTCGTGCTGACATTTCGGAGGTCCGAGGGGACTAGGGGACTTCTTACGGGTCGCCTGGGCTTCTGACGCCCTTCAAAGGACAGCATATGTCAGTATGTGCTTCAGACACAGAGGCCGACTCCAGGCCAGCCATGGGCTACTGTTCTTCTACCGTGTTCCTCGGCACCGGCCTTCGGGGTCCCTGTCTGGCGCCATGAAGGAAAGCCCCCATCCTCCCCTCTCCTGGGCCAGCTGTCGTGTGTACCTTGCTGTGAGGATTCAGGAAACTAACTGGGACCTTGAGCCAAGGTGTCTTCGTGGCCACCATGGCAAGCTGCAAACGCCGGGGCTCCGCCAAAATCAGCCTTGCGTTAGCAGAAGATGGGGAGGTGCTGCCTCAGTGGCCACCTCCTTGGATGGACATAGGAGAAGGGATACCTGAGAACTTTTTGGACCAGCGAGAGGAGAGCCCCTTCCACTCTTTCCTGGCCAAGTCACGCCTTATAGAAGGTGCACTGGAGAAGCAAGAACGCACAGAGTGGGGAGGAGCAGGGATGCAGCTAGGTATGAGGCTTGCTGCACGTCTCAAAATCCTGCAGGGAAGAGGGGAGTCCACTGTGTGGCCAGGACAGGGTGGCCCAGAAAGCTGGGAACCCGACGTAACTCCTTCGAAGGCCAGGATGGCGAGATCACCCAACAGGGCCTATAGAACACTCAGATTTTTGGGTGCTGACTTGTCCGCAGTCCTGAAAGTCAGGAAGGTTTGGTACCTCCCTGTCCCCCGGCCTTCCCTTCCCCATCGCGGGTTACCCAAGTACGAAATGCTGAGCTTCTGATGGGGGAGGCCCTACCAGCGTCTGGCTGCTGGAGATTGCTGGTGTTGCTCACCCACAAGGCTGTCGCCATGCCAGGCCGTCTGGTTTCCCGAGCAGGCGTTTTCCTTCCCCCACCCAGTCTCCCCTGCCCCCAGGCTCCCCTGTCCCCCCCCCCCCCCAACACCTCCTCTTGAGGCCCTTACCTTGCAGGACGCAGGACGCAGGGCGGTGGTCAGGAGTCGGCTGTCTGCCCTTGTGCGATTTCCTTGGTACTTGCCAAGGTAAACCTCTTCCATGGTCCTCCTGATTCTCTACTCATGGCTGGCCACTCCGGGGACTCTTGGCGTTCTTTTCTGGCTTCTTAAATAGTGCTTTTCTTATGAAAAATCAAACACGATGTCCAACGAATGGTTTAAGTTTCTCAAAGTCTAAAATGGTTTAACCAGGAGGACTTTTCTCTCATAAATTATTTGAAGGAAGATTAGCTTGAATGATATATCAGCTGGGAGGGATTTCACTAAAACACTAACTTAACAGCCTCCCCACCGCTCCTGGGGGCGGGGGTGGGTATAATTATTCAACGGGATAACGTCTACTCATACACTTTACAGGACAAACTGTTTACAGTAAGGGCATTTGTGCCTGGAGCTCCTTTCTTGGCCTGTTCCAGTGAGTAATGAGGGGCCCCTCTTCTGGAGTTCCTTTAGCTCCTTGGCCCAGAGGGGACCGCTGGAGGTGACGTTGCAATCTGGCTTCTCCGGGACCAGTTGGCCACAAGTCTGTCTGGGTCTGACTGCAACTAATGCGCTGGGTGCAAGCCATTAAGTAGAGCCCCACCGGGCTCTTGTTTTAAAAGCCTATTATTTTAATTCCCAAAGCTTTTACAGGGAATGGGCAGCAAACAGAGCAACGGCAACGCACTCTGTCTGCCTTCTAATTATGACAATTCATGACTCAGACTCTCAATTTGGTTATTTCTTTGGCCACTCTTCCCAGCATCCCCTCCAAAAAGAGTCAGCCAGAGGAGGGGATGCTGATGTAAAGCATCAGATTGCAAACCTTGCTGCAGGGGAAGGAATATTAATGGTGTTTGCAGCAGGGCAGAGTCGGTGGGGGGAGGACTAAAACATATTTCATTCAAAACCAGGAGAACTCACATCAACCCTCATCCCCGCCCACTCACTTGACTGTGTTCTGTTTACTAAAGCTCATGTCTATTTAGTTTTACTGGAAAATTAGAAAAGACCAAAACAGCATTGCCCCACACAAACACACCTAAAAAGAAAATCACGTGAGTGTGTATAATGCTTGTCAACGTTTCCTCATCAAGGACCATTTCCCGGCCCGATGGGATCCCGGCACGTTTCCCAGAGCACCCAGGGGTGGGCAAGCCCCCTCTGCCTGGGGTGCTGTGCTCCCCACCACCCTCCCTCTATTGATGAAAGCTGTCAAAGAAACTTCTCCATTTCGGGAGCCCTGATCCCACCCCTCCCTGTTTCAGGTTTCCCCCAAATAACAGCAGGAAGTTGTTCTCTAAAAGTGAGTTTTGTCATCCCCATTCTGATGAATAAAAGGGCGAGGTGAAGAACCCCCCTTTGTCACCTCCAGTGCCCCCCCCCCCCACTGCGTCTACTCCAGCCTGGCTTCGCTCCCAGCCGTGCCACCTCATCGGGCCCCGCACACTCCCCAGGGACCACCCCAACCGAATCCACGCACCGCCCTCATCCCTCCCGATACTGGAGTTTGGCCCCCGTTCCCCCTACCTTCCCCTGCCTGGTGTCCTGGCCCCGCCTGCCTGCTTCCCCAGCCTTCTCCCTCCCTCTCCGTCCCCAACCACCGTGGCTTCAGTGGCCCGCCCCCCTGGCCCACTCAGGTCTTGCTCACCCTGCTTTCTCCTCTGAACCACAAGCCTGTTTATGCAGCTGCTGGAGATGCCCACCGGCTCCTCACCCTTGGCCAGTCTGCTCTTGAAGGTTCCTGAAGGGTCCCCGTCTAGCCTACGACTCTGGACCCTGGCCACATCCTCGCTTGCTCTGCTGTCCCTCATGGCCGCTGCCGCCGCCTGTGGTCAGGCCCTTCTCTTCCTGGCCTGGGCTTTGCAAGTCTCCCCACTGCGCTCACTGCTTCTGGGCCAGGGGTCCCCACACTAGTAGTGATCATGCATCCCTATCAGAAAAAATTCTAGCAGGCACTGCCGGGACATGCATGTGAATTTACACACTGTGTGCATAAACCATCTGCTAACAAACTATAAAACTTTCACCAAAGCAGGGGCGCCTGGGTGGCTCAGTCGGTTAAGCGGCTGCCTTCGGCTGGGGTCATGATCCTGGGGTCCTGGGATGGAGTCCCACATCGGGCTCCCTGCTCACGGGGAGCCTGCTTCTCCCTCTCCCTCTGCCCCTCCCCCTGCTTGTGCTCTCTCTCTCTCCCTCCCTCTGTCAAATGAACAAAATAAAAAAACATTCACCAAAACACACATTTTAAAGGATGCAATACAAAATAGATAAAAATGCAAGTTCTAGTATTTTCTCTGGCAACCTGGGAATTCTCGCCCTACTTGGAGTCCTCTGGTCCAGGCTCTGGGCACTCCAAGACCCGCCCTCTGCGACGTGCTCTGGGGCTGGAATGACCACAAACCGGGTTAAAGCAGCACACGTGGATTCTCCTACACTTCTGAAAGGTCAGAAGTCTTGAAACGGCTCCCCGGGGCCAGAACCCAGCTCCTTCTGGAGGCTAAGGAACAACCCATTTCTTTGTCTTTTCCAGTTTCTAGAGCTGCTACCTGAGCTCATGGCCCCTTCCTCCACCTTCAAAGCCAGCAAGCAGTGTGGCAGCTTCGAGCCTCTCTACCCCCATCCTCACACCACCTTCTGTGGTGTACTCCCTCTCCGCCTCTCGCTCGTGATGATGGGGCCCTACCCAGACGACCCAGGACCATCTCCCCATCTCAAGATCCTTAACCTAATCACAACTGCAAAGCCCCTTTGGCCATGTAAGGAAACATTCACAGGCTCCAAGGATTAGGACGCGGATATTTCCGGGTCCATAAGGACCTCTTACACCCCCCTGCAGCTTCTAAACATGCTGCCGCCACACCCCATTTTCTCTGGCCCTCCACTGCCAGCAATCAGCAGGCATGCAAGGCCTTTCACAGTCTGGCTCTAGGCACCTTTTAAACCACATCTCCCACCACTACTTCCTCCTTCCTTCTCCACCCCCTAACATACAGGGCCCAGCCACCCATGATTATACTTTATGTTCTAGCAATACATGCTTGGAGTCCTCCCAACAAGGCCCTGCATGTACAGGTGTTCAGGTTGCGCACTGAATAAGCAGCTGTGTGTAAGAAGGTTCACATCATGGACATACACTAATTTATACAGAAAAACAGAGGCTTTCCAAAACTTCCCTCTCATGTAAACCTTCACAGGTACACACTCAGGGGAGCTCACA